CAAATCCCTAACCAGGCATGCACATTTGATGGCCAGGAAAGGAAGGGGCAGTGAGTGTGTGACCCCACCTCTGAAAACATACCTGACCACATGCCCTGCAGAAGAAATCAAAAAGACAAAAAAAATGCCCCCCTTAAAATACAAACCCAGATCCTTATTCATGTGTGACCCATGCCAAAAAAAAGGTCTAAGGTCCAAGCCAAAATCTAGATCTGATAAAAATTTCGATCCTAGATTAGGGTCGGGTATAGATTTACAAGGGAGACCCCATTCAAAAAAAAAAAAAATAGTGCGGGAAAGTCCCCCCAAAATCCATAGCAAATGCTTATCCGGGCATGCAACATAAATGACCAGTATAGGGAGGGGTAGGCCACATGGCCTTAAAATTGGGAGTATAGCCTGCCAGAGGGTCAACCTAGCAAGGTACTTGTCCCCTATATTGATGGAAACAAGGGCCTCATTCACAAAGTCCCTCGCCTAGTGGTTGCTGGGTTCTTCAAGGGACCCATCAGAACCTGGGATCCTCCTTTAGAATAAGGGGGCCCTGGATATTCCCCTACATTATTGATTTAAGGGTACATAGTACCCCTTGTTACTCACACAAAAATGTAGAAAGTAAACATACACATACCATGACCTACTGAAGTAATTTATTTTAAAAATTTAAAATAAACTTTGTCTCTGTTTTTTAACATAAACTGTTTAGACAGTGAAAATTTGGTTGTTTTGCAAGCTGATTGGTAAGTGTGCTGGCAAATCTTTAGTTTTTGTTAGCTATGTGCATTGTCCTTCCATGTGCACCTTGCTGTAAAGGCTAGTTGGGGGTCGGTCATTTTTTGTACCGTTAAATTTAAACATTGTCATACCAGATGTAAATCCAACATTAATCACATTGTTCAGTGAAATAGATACAACATGCAGCTATGAATGAACTGGCCAACATGACAACTTAAACCATAACAATCCTCACTCCAGTCCTTAAATGATGGGATGATGCTGGGCTGATGTCATTGACCATATGATGGTCATAATCATATTTGATGAATGACATCACTTGGAATGCATATCGGCTTGTTTACAATTAGTGGTTTGTTAAGTAATACTACCACTAAAATAAATGACTTCCAGACGCAGTTTAAGCAGGCAGGTTTGGGTGAGAGAACTGGCCATATCATGGCCATTTAGTTTATTGCATGTTTGCAGTTTTGCAGACAGTTGGGTTTAGGTCAAATGCAGGTGCCAGCCTGAACCCAAATTATTCATTCCAAGTTAAGGTCATGTGGTGTTTGCATTGGGATTCCTCCTTGCCTATCTCCATCATCTGAGCTAGGTAAGACTGTTTTTTAACATTTTAGCTTTGTTTTTTATCATGTCGTCGTTCTCTGTGGAGGCCATGAGAGGATGCATGAACTTGCTTTGTATCAATTGAAACTCATATAGATTTCAAGTGTTGCTTAGCTTCCTGGCAATACTATGGGTAAAAAAAAATTTCTATATGTTGAGTACTGAACTATGCTATATACACATACCCCTCTTGTCACAGGCTATGCTTCTTCCTCACCAATTGTGAAAATTGTCAAATTTTGTGCTTCAAACATTGTACTAATTAGGAAGACCTTTGCAGTGTGTAATTGCCTGTGGATAAAGCAAAACTAAACCCTTCTATCCTTTACAGCTAAGGAAGCTGTCATCTGTTTGATCAGAAAATTGCATAAGTACTGTACATGTGATCAGTTAAAAATTAAGTTCACCTTCTGGACAAAAATAATAAATGCACATTATTTTGCAGGATAAAAAAAAAAATGTGCATTTATTTAATTTTGTCCAAAGGAGTCTGTAAAGCATTGCACTAGAGGATCAGTAGATGCGCTGATGTCATGCAGGTCTCCTGCAGACCTGGCAGAATATCTGCTTGCTATACGGGATGTACGGTCCAAAAGATATTCTGACAGAGGAAGCTTCAATGAACTACCACGGTGCTCCACAGTGCTGTGGTAGTTCATTGAAAACTACAAGCCGACAGCCGCTAAAGCTGTTCTGTTTCCCCTTGCCACTACTTCCAAAGAATCTCTGCTAGCACTTTCAAATGTGCACATAGGAATGCTTGGCTAGGACCTTTCCAGTGTTCCCTAAAAAAATACTGGGCATGTTTCCTTGACCCCTGTGAGGTAATTATAAGACATCAGTATGGAAGTGGCTGGTGCTGTGTCCAGCCATTGCCAGGAAAAAAAAGGCAGACATGCCCTGCCTCTTGAAGGAGCACCCTGACAATTGCTTTTGGTCTGTGGATATACAGAATTTCCCTCTTAAACACAATGGAGCTTTTTAGGCAAATCAATAAACTGTTTAAAATTAGAAAAAGTAATTTTTATTACAAACCACTAAAAATAAATGCATCACAAAAACACATACAAATAAAAAACATACACGAAATTACCAAATGTTTTGGGACAGCACCCTTCCAAATCATTGGAATCAGGTGTTCCAATCACCCCCCATGGCCACCAGGTGTAAAAAATAAATCAAGCATCTAGGCATGCAGACTGCTATCTACAAACATTTGTGAAAAGAATGGGTCGCTTGTCAGGAGATCAGTGAATTCAAAAGTAGGTAATAGGTTGCCACCTGTGCAATAAGTCCATCCGTGAAATTTCCTTGCTACTAAATATTCCACAGTCAACTGTTAGTCGTGGTATATAACAAAGTGGAAGCAACTGGGAGCAACATCAACTCAGCCACGAAGTTAGTAGGCCACGTTAAAATGACAAAGTACAGGTCAGCACATGCTGAAGCGCACAGTGCGCAGAAGTTCGCCAACTGTCTTCAGAGTCAATAGCTAAAGACCTCCAAACTTCATGTGGCCTCCAGATTAGCACAAAAAGAATGTGGAGAGGCTTCATGGAATGGGTTTCCCATGGCGAGCAGCTGCATCCAAGCCTTACATCACCAAGTGCAATGCAAAGCATCGGATGCACTGGCGTAAAGCAAGCTGCCACTGGACTGGTAGAGCAGTGGATATCGGTGTTCTCTGGAGTGAACAATCATGCTTCTCTGTATGGCAATTCCGAGGGACATGTCTGGGTTTGGCAGTTGTCAAGAGAATGGTACTTGCCTGACTGCATTGTGGCAAGTGTTAAAGTTTGGTGGAGGGGGATTATGGTGTGGGTTGTTTTTCAGGGGTTGGGCTTGGCCCCTTAGTTCCAGTGAAGGGAGCTCTTAAGGCATCAGCATACCAAGACATTTTTGGACATTTCATGCTCCCCAAGCCTTTTTGGGAACAGTTTGGGGGATGGCCCTTCCTGTGTTTCCAACATGACTGCATGCTCACCAACGCACAAAGCAAGGTCCATAAAGATATGGATGAGTGAGTTTGGGGTGGAGAAAATTGACTGACCCTGCACAGAGTCCTGAACTCAACCCAATAAAACCCCTAGACACACTCTAAACCTTGTGGACAGCCTTCCCAGAAGGAGTTGAAGCTGTTATAGCTGCAAAAGGGTGGCCAACTCAATATTGAACCCTACGGACTAAGACTGGGATGCCATTAAAAGTTCATATGCGTGTAAAGGCAGGCATCCCAATACTTTTGGCAATATAGTGTATACTGTAAGGTAGCTGAATATATGATACTAGCTTGATGTGGACAGGTGTTCTTCTTCTTTACGTATTGAAAAGTGAGACAGAAGAAGGAGTTTCTTCAGTACAATACCCGAGGCAGTTCAGAACATCACAATTGATTCATCAGGGGTAAATTGAAGGGAAATGATGGTTAACCATTCCTCTACAAATAAATAACAGTAAAAAATCCACACAGGTGTAAATACAGAGATAATATATATTTTTATGCATTTTAATACATTACATACCATCCTGTGTTAGTACTGATCTTTACAAAACTGCCAACAGGTTGGTCTGTGGATGCAGGACCTGCTCACCCCATAATAGAACAGCCTCTGCCTCTCATTTTAGGCCTCCCAGGCATGATGGTAATGGGTGATTTCTTACTTTGGTTAACAGTTTTGGCATGAATGAAATGGATGGGCAATGTGGTGCTTTGATGCACTTGACACTGTGGTACTTTTGTGGACTAAACTGGACCACAATAGTATGTGGTGCTGTGCTGCTAACAAAGGACAGGTTTGCAGTGTCACCAACAAGATCATGCTGCTGCTAATTACCCTTTTAAAAAAAACAAACCAAAACTAAAAGACCCTAACAAAATTACATGGAAATCAAATAAACCTCACAGAAAAATGATCATTAAAAAATTTAATTCACACCCGTCCTAAAACACTAAACAAAAAGAAAACCTTTTTAGTCATTTCAGTATTTGTCACAGTATTTGTCAATGACATGCACACACAAAAGCAAAAATAAAAAACCCTTCAAAAATGGACTGTTGGGTCTCTTCACAGTGAATACAGGTGGGGTAACACAACATACTCTCTAGCCCCAAACACTGCAATTTGGTACCATGTATCAGTGGCAATATACAACACTGGATATAGCACCATATATAGCACTAGTCTGTTGTAGAACACTTGAATTATTCAGCAGCACAGAACTCTTTCCCCCTGCAATCACTGTGCAATCAGCCGCCCCTCACTACTAATCCCAATAAACTGACAAAGGGCTGGTGAGAGAGCTGACTTAATGAGGGATCTGGAACTTTGGCCAAAGCTCATTATTGGCCAAATCATTGCACCTGACCAGAGTTCACAGTGCACTGCAATTCATTATGGGACATTCGGCTTGGCACTCCTTTGTTCAGCTGAATGGCATTATGGGACATTTAGCTTGGCACTCCTGTGTTCAGCTTAATGGCAAGTATGTTCAGACAAAAGTTATGTTTGATCTCAACACCCAACCTCATTCCTAGTCTTACCATGGTGTTTCACCCATCTAGCTGAAGCTGAATGCTCATTCTTACTGCTCCATTCTGGCAAGTACATCAAGATTCATAAAATTAAAATATTTAATAACCTTAAAGTGTTACTAAACCCAGGACTATGCATTCACTATACTGTCTTATGAGGCTGCATAACCCCTGACCCTCTCTCTGGACAGCGCTGATTGACATTGTGCTCATTACATGCACCCTCCCCCCCAAAAAAATCTCTAGCACTACACACCAAACAGAGCATGTGCATAGTGTCTCCTGGGGCTCTGTACTATCAGGAGAAGGATTGAGGACTGTGGAAGAAGGGGAGGATCAGAGAATACAGGATCAGCACCCTTTTTACACAATGTGGAGGATTAACCACTTAGATTCCACAGTGAGTATAACAAGCATGCTTTACTGCATATACAGACTGATTTTACTGTTGTGGGTTTAGTAACACCTTAACACACAAACTCTCATGCCAAGCTTTCTCTCTCAATAAGCTGAGACTATAGTTACCCTGACAAGCACAGGAAACAAAGCAGCTGCAGAAATAAATACCAGTAACGGAAAATGCCAATTAGGCCACAGAGAAATATCAAACTAATAGATTGTAAAGGTCTATAATTCCAGTCCCTTGGTGAATACCTAACAACTATCTACAACTTCTAAAAGGGCTTGTCTACATAATAAATGATGATAAATAAAAAAAAGACTATACTGATTGAACATATGTGATAACGTCAGCCCAGTGATTAGTGTGAAATAATTGAGAAAAGCTAGGACTTGGTGACAAGTACACATATAGTGATTGTTATTTATAATCAAATGACAGTGATATTTCGACTAGCATAGTGAATAAGGCATATATACTCCAAATACAGCAATCAAATAGCAGATAACTAATATAGAAAATTGTTTGTGTAACAAGCAAAGTACATAGTAACAATTCAAAGTGACTTATAAAGAAACAAATCACAGCTAAAAAGAAACATCAGGCAATATGCTGCAATCTCCTTAAATAAGCAACAAAGCATCTTTCTGCTACATGTGAGTTGGCATCCACCCAATAAATTGTGCAAAAAACCTCCACCTTAAATCCCTCTCTGTCTCAAGACAGGCTAAGGCCCCTTTCACACAAATGTTCCATCTGTCCACTTTTCATCCATCTGTATATGAATGAAAAAGAGAACGAAATGTATTTCTCTTTGCAAACAAATGTAAACAGATGATCATCCATTTACATCCATTTCCGTTTAGGTCCACCTCCATCTCTTTCCTCTTCTGTTTAAATGGATCTGAATAGATATAAACAGATCTAAACAGCTGGCATCCGTTTTTATATCTATTTTTGCATTCACCGTGCACTCATCCCTGCTGTCTGCCAGCAGAGATGAGTCATTGGCTGAGGAGCTCACACCCACCAGCATCCTAACAGCCAAGGAATTATCCCCTGCTGTCAGTGGCAGGGATGAGTCATTGGTTGCTAAGGAGCCAGCAATCGTCAGCTTCCTAACAACCATTGACTCATCCTTGCTGCCAGCTGGAAGATTCCCTGCCCAGAAATGAGCGAGCAAATGAAGAAAAAAAAAATGGCGTGGGGGTCTTCCTCAATCTATACCAAGCCCTTCAGGTCTGGTATGGGTTTTAAGGGGGACCCCCACACCTAAAAAAAGTAATAAAAAATGGCATGGGGTCCTGCCATATCTTGTCAATGATGTAATTGGGTGAACCCCACTCTCTTGTTTACTTCAGCGGTTGGGGGAAGCGGAGCTGTCATTTGATGCCAGTAAGTGACAGGAGTGGTTGGGTGTCAGCGAGTGGCATTTTTTTGTGTGGGTCAGTGGGCATTGTTCATCATGATTGGCATGGACCTAGTTGGCTGGATGATATGATTGACAATGAGTAAACATCGGTGGACTGTTTTTTTTTTTTTATAAAGGACTTGTCAAAAATTGTGTTGAGTTTTCATTTACATTTGACATTTTTTTGTGAATGAGTTGGGGGTACTATGTACCCCATACTTGTTTACATGGGGGGCAGGTTCTGTGGGGCCCCGTATTGTTAAGGGGGGCTTTCAGTTTCCTTTAAGCCTTGGCCTGCAGATCCCCACAGTCCTACTGTATTTACGTACTTATATCTCTGTTAGCATAAAAAAATAGACTAAAAAAATATCACTAATGAAACAAATAATATCTAGCTGTATATTAACCTCCCTGGCGGTATTCCCGAGTGTAGCTCGGGGTAAAGTTTCAGTACCAAAAGCGGTAACCCCGAGCTACACTCGGGCTTACCATGCGGGGCTGCATAGGGAGTCCCTGCAGAGCTTACCTTGTCCTTCGCTCCTGCGATGTGTCCCCTGCAGCGTTCCCGGCCATCTCCTCCGGCTGATGCCGGCATCCGGCTTCTGTGTTCCGGTCCCTGTGACGTCGGGATGATGCACGGGCGCCGCCGCTGGCGGCGGGAAATTTGAAAATTTAAAAAAAAAATGTCATTTTTTTCAAAACAAATTTTATATAGTAAAATATTGCTGTTTCAAACCATTTCACATACATATTGTCCCTAGTGTTTTGTCCTGTCCTCTGTCTGCATTTTGACTGTTCTTTCTGCCTGGAAACTTAGAAAAGTCCATGGCGTCCAAAAAGCATCCCTTTAGGTCAAAAGCGGTTTTAGGTCAGCTAGAGAACAGCGATAGTAAATCAGACCCACTTGCAGAATTGAGTGATAATGATTCGTGGAGAAATTCGTCATCAGACACTGAAAACAATTTTGTAACTTTGCTCAGTGATGTGCGAACTTGGCGCTATATTTCAAATTTCATTGTTTTTGGTTTGATTATATTATTGAATTAAATGTATTATTATTATATTATTATTTTTTTATGATTATTTATTAAATTATAATTTATGATTTTGTGTTTCAAATTTTATCATACCCGGGATGTTTAATAGACTCTTGTTCGGACAGATTTCAGTGAGTTATTTCTAAATATTACAGCCTACAATAAAAAAAACTACATATTTCCATGCAAAAAAATGGTACCGCTTTCAGCACCAAAAATCTGAAATAATCATACCGCTAGGGAGGTTAAGCTCTTTAGCTCTTCATAATCAATCTACATCAAAAATTAATTTTGTTTCTTTTTGAGACACCTTACTAAATTCAAACCACTCCAGTGACCACTCACTCCTTCCACTCCACGAAACTTCAGTAAACCAGCATTCCTATTGTGAAATTTCCTGAAATGGAAAGAGACACAGTCGTTTTTATAGCTTATTTCAATGTTGTGTATATGAAGACAAGAACACTGACAGCACCCCACAATGACATGTATAAAACACTGTATAACATTGAAGAAGGCTGCAAATATTGATAGGCAAATACACTATGCTTAGGTTCAACGTGTGGGCATATTTGGTGAACACAGCCAAAGAGCTGCAAGTTGTGAACCTCAATGAAGTCAAATAGAGCTGAATCTTCAAAATCAATTCTCTCCATTTTCATGTGGGATCCTGAGTGATGGACAATAAATGATTATGATCATATTTGGTCAGTGATGTCACTAGGGATCCCCTGTCCCTTGTTCATATTCAGCTACTGACTCTGGAAATTTAATTTGTGGCAAGAGTCAGTTGGGAGTGCATCTGGTCATCATGTTTTAGTTCAGCAGGTTGATGGACATCATGAATCGTGATTACCATGGATCTACATCACTGGATGACCACAGATTTACATTGTATACATTTTTGCTGTTTCGACCTCCACTTGATCTCCAGATGGTTATCATAACCTTGGCCTGTTTTGCTATTCAGCACTGTTCTACTTTAAATGGCAATCGCTGTTATGCAACCATGTACCCGAATGAAATTTATATCATTTTTTTTTCACACAATTAGAGTTTCTTTTGGTGGTATTTAATCACCACTGTATTTTTTATTTTTTGATATATAAACAAAATAAATAACCAAAACGTTTGAAAAAAAAACATTTTATTTAAATACTGTTATACAGCTTTGCAAACAAATAATCTTTCTTCATAAATTTAGGCCAAAATGTAGTCTGCTACAATTCTTTGGTAAAACAAATAACCCATATCAGTGTATATACTATTTAGTCTGTTTGAAAGTTAGTGAGTCTACAAACTATGGTATATGTAGTTGATCAATCCTTATGTACCTCAAGTGTTACAAACCCAGGACCCTGCATTCACTATATCTGGTCTCCCACAGAACACAGGACATGGAAGTGCAATTATTTTAGTAAATATAAACTGCTAAATACCTTTTCTCATCAGCAGTTAGAGCAGTCTTGTGACTTATATCAGTGTCCAGCAAAGCACATGTAAAAGCTTGTAAGAGGAGTTTTAATTCTGCTCTAGGAAGATGCAGGACTCCTGACCTCTGTCTGGACAGTGCTGATTGGCCCTGTGCTGATCACATGCACTCTCCCAAGAAAAAAAAAAAATCCTCTCTAGCAATACACACCAAACTGAGCAGGCACAGAGTGACTCCACACGATATGTCTTATCAAGAAATAAGAGGGGGACACTGGAAGAAGCAGAGGATCAGAGAATTCAGAATCAAACAGTTTTTACACAATGCAGAGGATTAACCCCTTATGTTCTAAAGTGAGTATGACAAGCATGCTTTACTTCATATACAGACACAACAGTACAAATAACCCCAAGATGACTTTTTGGAAAGTAGACGGTAAAAGGTATTTAGTTACCATGGCATGGCAAGTTTTTTGAAGTCGTCATTTTTTTTTTATCACAATTGTTTGGAAAATGAAGAAATTATATAAAATTATGTGTTTTTCCACATTTTTTTATATACTGTCACAGGTGCAGCACAGCATTATCATATGACTGGTGTGGCAGTGAACAGTATTGTAACGGAACTGGACCCCGACTGTGCTAGGGTATTTCCGTTAGACTCCCGCTTCCCTGTCTGAACACAAATCCACGGACATCACTGCTGATCATACAGGACGAGACAGCACCCGACTCTTCTTAAGACAGGAAGTCAACTGCTCTATTTCTACACAAACACAAGATATATACACAGGGTGGGGAAATACAACCAGGAACAGGAAACGCATCAACAGGCCCTCCCATCAGGAGGAGGGCTGCTGGTAACACCCCCCACCAAACCAAGACACAGAACAATGGGATGCAGCACATGGCAGTGAACAATGACCAACCCCCACACCAATACACAAACATTACATCCCATAATAGTTTGCTAGAACAATGGGATGCAGCCACATGGCAGAGAACAATGAACAATGCAACAACCACCTGGCAGTGAACAATGGACAATCCCCCACCCCACCTATACATGTCTACAAAATATCCGGACAGAACACCCTGCGCCCCTTACAGGCACAGGATGCCTTTACACATAAGAGGGATTTGGGGAGATGATACAGGGGTCCCCACCCCCAAAAGTCACTCCCCTCACAAGTATGTAAATAAATAAATACATAAATAATTTTTAAAAATGTATTCAATTTTTTAAACTTTCTATTTTTAGCATTTTTTTCTTTCTTTTACAGGTTTTTTTTCTTGTATCCTGTCCTCAAAGTAGTTTAGTGTCACCATAGTTTTTACAGTGTTATTGATTATAACATTGATGACCACTGTTATAAGCAATATTTTTAACTGTTATGACAGCTTGCTTACTGTTGTGATGCTGTGATTGGCTACAGCTAATTACGTGGTACAGGGTGCCAGATACCATGTGATAGCTGTGGACCAATCACAGCATTACAACAGCAAGCAAGCTGTTCATGAATGAAAGCTATCCATGACAGTTTGCCTACATAATGTTGTATGATCACTATGATTGGTCAGCCAACCTAAGACACAGGCAGCCAACCTGTTGGCTGCCAAAATGCTTAGTTGCTAGGATGTATGCAGCCACCAGTGTCCCAGCAACCAACAAGGGGGCAGAGGATTTACAGCCATCAGCAGGAATCTGTCATATTTAGTGACGTTGTAATACCTCTATTAAATATAAACTACTGCCTGCAGCAACTGGAGGTTTGGCAGATGAGCACACAGGCAATTTAGTTTGCCAGCTGGGTGAACAGTGAAGAGACAGAGTGTATATGGCAGGACCTGTGTCACGTTTAACTCCAACCCTAGATGCCAGTGGTGACATGCTCCATTGGCACAACTGCCAGCTCCATTCTCTTCAATGTGCGCAGCACGTGCAGCAGCCCTGGCAAAATCCTGTCACTAAAGTACATGTTTTGTCTCTTTCCCCTACCTGCCTGGCAACATTATCTGGCTATAGCACAGTGTTTCAATATCCAGCAATTGCCATTAGCTGTATCTTTCCCATGGGCATCGAGTTGTTGTGTCTCATGCACAGCACCATCTACTACCCTGGAGAAGCAGAACCTAAATAACATCTTCATCGTCAGGACAGACTCTGTCAAAAATTAACAACTGTCCCTAGCAAATGGGGATCTGTGGCAACCTTAGATTATTTATTTATATTTTTTCTGATTGCATTGATAAGTGTAAAGGTCACTGCTATATTTCTCTATATGGTTTTATTACCCTACTCATAGCTCATTTTTGTCACCTGCACCAGTATAGGTATCCTTTTTGACTTATTTTATTTTAGTCTGCATCACTTGAAAATTACTAAATAAATCAAGGTAAAGTGCTGCCCATTAGTGCACCATATCAATACTCTGGCAAATGTGTTTTACTTGGTCTTTTTTTAACCTAATTCATTAACCGAGAAGCAGGGGAAAGTAAAACATGCTTTAAAACAAAGATTACCAAATACTTTTACAAGACTTATTGGAGATCATTCTTGGTGTTTTCAGAAAATAAGAAGATTTCAAAGGATGAAAGACAATGAGCTTCATTTACCCATGAAAAAGAGAAATCACTATGAATGTTCACTTTGTCCGACACATTTAGATGACTGAAGTGAACACAGCTCTTCCCTTCCTTTACTCCACGAACAAAATATTTTTCCTGGCACATAATTGGAAGATTGATGTGAACGCAGTATCCCTTCATTCACTTAGCTAAGTCAAGATTACTCCATTGTCAGCTGCCTATTCTTTGTCTGCATGCTTGAAGGGGAAAAAATGTTCTAAGTAACAACTTTGGAAAATCTCATAGAAAACGATTATCAATTTTCTGAACTGACTGCTCACTTGTTTTCTTTTATTTGAAAAGCAGAATTAACAAAAGTGATGGAAAAGAACCCCACTTTTCAATATCGAAAATGTTAAGGCTTATATTGCATTTGTTGTGCATACCCAAACTTATAGATGACCTGTAGTGGTTTATATGTATATGAGTGTGTGTTTGCTTGAGAGGATGTTCTCCTAACATTGTGCTCCCATTGTGTCAATTACATTCACATTTCTGAAAGGAATACAAAGGTGATGCATTTCACACAAACCTCAGTAAAGTTGATGAACACAAACCTCAGTAAACAAATTATTCAAATAATAACACAAAAAGCCCATGATCACAAGTCCACCAGTTGTTGAATTAATAAAAACAGTTCTCCAACACCATAAAAAGGAATTGTGTTTGCAGGAATGGAAATAATAGTTAATTTAAGTGCCATATGTAACAAATACAGCTTTGATGAGTGGTACTTTTGAATTTGGACATGTTGCATTTTCCTTTGCTTGTGTATTTGTTCTCTCTACTAGGCGTACTTTGTCCAACTGTATTTTACACTAAAGGTTGGGTGACGCTGTGTCATGTGTATGGCCTCTGATCTGAGATATGTTTTATATGTATCCAGTTTTGTGATATGCATAATGTTCAATGTACAGTATCTTGCTTACATATGGTAATACAATCTTTCACACTTGTGAACTTGTGTGTGTGTGTATATATATATATATATATATATATATATATATATATACTATATTGCTGAAAGTATTGGGACACCTGCCTTTACATGCGCATGAATTTTAATGGAATCCCAGTCTTAGTCCATAGGGTTCAATATTGAGTTGGCCTACCTTTTGCAGTTCTAACAACTTCAACTCTTCTGGGAAGCCTGTCCACAAGGTTTAGGAGTGTGTCTATGGGAATGTTTGACCATTCTTCCAGAAGCGCATTTGTGAGGTCAGGCACTGATGTTGGACGAGAAGGCCTGGCCCAAATTCTCTTTTTTTCTAATTCATCCCAAAAGTTGTCTGTCTGGTTGAGGTCAGGACTCTTGGTATGCTGAAGCCTTAAGAGTTCCCTTCACTGGAACTAAGGGGCCAAGGCCAGCTCCCCAAAAACAACCCCACACCATAGCCCCCCCCCCCCACCACCAAACTTTAAACTTGGCAAAATGTAGTCAGGCAATTACCGTTCTCCTGGCAGCTGCTTAACCCAGACATGTCCATCAGATTGCCAGACAGAGAAGCATGATTTATCACTTCAGACAACAGGTCTCCACTACTCTAGAGTCTAGTGGTATAATGCCTTACACCACTGCATCCGACGCTTTGCACTTGGTGATGTAAAGCTTGGATGCAGCTGCTTGGCCATGGAAACCCATTCCATGAAGCTCTCTATGCACTGTTGTTGAAGGCCACATGAAGTTTGTAGGTCTTTAGCTATTGACTCTGCATATAGTTAGCGACTTCTATGCACTGTGCGCTTCAGCATGCGCTGATCCCCGTGCTGTCATTTTATGTGGCCTACCTCTTCATGGCTGAGTTGTTGTTGTTCTCAGTTGCTTCCACTTTGTTATAATACCACTAACAGTTGACTGTGGAACATTTAGTAGCAAGAAAAATTTCACAGATGGACTGATTGCACAGTTGGCAACCTATCATGGTACCACACTTGAATTCACTGAGCTTCTGAGAGTGACCCATTCTTTCACAAATGTTTGTAGAAACAGACTGCATGCCTATGTGCTTCATTTTTTACACTTGTGGCCATGGAGGTGATTGGAACACCTGAATACATTGATTTGGAGGGGTGTCCCAATACTTTTGGCAATATAGTGTGTGTGTATATCTATAAATTAATATATATGGTGTATATATTATATATATATAAATAGGGATGAGCCAAACACCTAGGTTCAGTTCAGGAATGTTCAGCAGACCATATCAAAAGTTCAGGTACCAAAATCCAAACCCCACTGAAGCGAGTGGAACTTAAAATACAATGTTAAAAATGCACTATTTCATTAGAAATCTGCTTGGGGGTCCCCTAAACCTGCCTGTGATATCTTCCATGTAAATAAAGTAGTATACCAAAAGTGACATTTACAAAAGGGAA